CCCATCATTCCCCCCCTATTCCCCTATCTTTCCTCCCCTATTCCCCCATCTTTCCTCCCCCATCATTCACCCCCTATTCCCCCATCTTTCCTCCCCCATCATTCCTCCCCTATTCACCCATCATTCCTCCCGGATAAAAAAATGTAACAAACAGAAACAATTTATTCCCAATGTAACAGAAAATGTATCCGGCCCCATGGAGGTCTGACCATAGAGAGCGGGCCGTACAGGTCATGTGACGGGGCGTCTCCTCCCTCGCTCTCTCTTCCGCCATCTTTGTTCACCTTCATTACACTGAAGATGAATTGGGATTCAGAGATTTAAAGTGCACAGACCTCTTCCTGGCGGCAAATAAGAGAATCTGGAGATCGGAGATCCACTTTACTGGTTGTAACGGTTTTATTAATGTGAGCGTCATACAAGGCCGGCCCATATAATGTGCCCCTCCCCCCGGGGTGACGGGTTCAGACATTGGAGTGCCGCGGTTTGAGCTCAGATCCAGCAGAAGGAGCCGCCATGGCGTCCCTCGCCCCCAGGAGACGCACGGCATTGATCTCCAGGGCGGAGCATCGGAATTCTGCGGAGAGAGGAAGTAGAATCATTGATTATAAAAAAAGGCCAATTATTGATCATCTATGGGGGAGGGGCAGCAACCAGAGAAAACTGATTTCATTTCAGCCCCGAGCTGCAGAAAAAGGGAGAGGTGAAAATCAGTTCAGTCACCGTGATCAACACCTTCCATTTAAAGGGTCCGTCCACCTCAAACCGGAATTTCAGGTTCGGGGGGTAATGAGTCATACGCCGGATTATCGCCAGAAACTCGGCAAACAAGAGCGGTGTGCCGGCAAACTTCTATTATTAGTACATCACAATAATCAGGTCATGGTACAAAATGGCAGAAAAGAACATAAAACAATTGCCCCCATTGGAGGGCCGAGGTGACTACACCACATTCCTGCCCATCCGAGGGGCTGTGCAGACTAACCCTGAGCGCGCATGTGCGCACACGCTGTATGTATGGAGTCACCTTCACACCTCCCACAATGGATCTATCAACTC